TTATGCTCTTCTTTGATCCGCTACTAAACTCCTAAGTTACTAAAGCCTCGCCAGTGACACTCCCTCTGATGTCCAGGAAAGGTCAGAGGCGGTGGCAGCTGGCCTCCAAGATGGCTTCCCTTCTCCCCTCTTGGCAATCCCCTCTCACACTCTAAGAGCATTGGCCTGAGACACCAGCACCAGCAGAGTGACAGAAGGTCACTTCCCAAAGTAAAGACTGTGGCTTCGACCTCAGCCCCCACCAAATTTTGCTCATCATTTGCCCTGGAGGGAGCCAACTGTTTGGTCTTAAAGACCTTGAAGAAGGAGGCAGCCCTGTGGAGAGAGCAGGCCGAGGCTGCCAATGGCTGCATGAGTCCTTCAGTGCAGATCCCTCCCCACCATCAGGGCAGACAGCCACCCAGCATCACCCAGGTAAGCTGCTCCTGAAATCTTCACCCAGGGAACTGTGAGATGACTAATGTGTACTGTGTTAAGCTGCTAATTCTGGGGATTTGTCATGCAACAGCAGATTCCTAATATGATGGCTTCCAAACTGTCTTAACTATGGCTTACAGAAAGAAATACATTTTACTTGGCAACCCAGTGCACACACGCGATGCTCACATACACACACACACACATCGCAATGCAGGCACGCACTCACCCCCATACACACATGAGCACGCGTGAGGACTGTTTCATGGAATGGTATTGTTCCTACCAAATACACTCTATGCACACTGTCTTGTAGATATTGTTCTCTATTTCATTCAGAGCACTTGAAAGAAAATGGTCATAGTGATCTACTAAGGTGACTCAATGGAACAGGGCATAGGACAGAGGGGAACAAACAGTAATTTCCTCTATTTTGTCTGTCCTCAGCTGACCTTGCAGGAGCCATGACCTTAACCAGCCCACCCTCAAAGCCAGCTGAGTTCTGTATAGAGCAGGTACCAACTAAGTGCTGACCCATGCCTTTCCTGACCCTTGTGCTAGGCCTGACGGTTGCCTCCCCGAAAATCCCCATGTTGAAACCCAGCCCCCAGGTGGTGCAGAAGGAGGCCGAGCCTTCGGGAGGTGATCAGGTCATGAGGGTGCAGCCCTGGAGAACACCATTTGAGTCCTAAGAAAGAGAGACCCTCGCTGCTTCCGCCATGTGACGTAATTACACCAAGACTGGGTGCTTGTGAACCAGGAAATTGGCCCTCACCAGGCACAGAACTTTCTTGGACTTCTCAACCCTCAGAACTGAAAGAAACATGTTTCTGTTTATAAATCGGCAGTCTAGGGCATACTGTTACCGCAGTCCAAATGGACCAAGACCCCCCATGCCTGCCTCTGCAAGCCAGTGCCTTCCCCGCCCAAGGGCACCTCTGCTCCGAGCTTGCCTCTCCATCCCACACGTGCGTGTCAATTCTCACTCTGCGAGATTTTCACAGTGAGTTGCTTTCACATGGGTTTACATTCTACACACCTGGGGTCACACTGCGTATATCTGTAAGCTTTTATATCTTGCTTGGCTCAAGGTTGTGTTTTTAGATTCACCCCCATGCCCTGCACATCGTTCATTTCAACTGCTCTGTTACTTCATGGTATGAACTGAACCAGAAGTCAGCTGTCCACTCCTCCTGCCAACTGTCGCTGAGGTGTTTACCTGTTACAAACCACGGGCAGTGAATACTCTCTCCTGGGTGTACAACTAGAAGTGGAATTTCTTCAGGGGACAGGATTAAATACCTGAACAGTCTGGCACACAGCTCTTATTAATGTCGTCACCCCATCTTCACATCCAACCTGTAGGCCTGGATTTGTCTCTGTTTAGTAAACAGAGCTTTAAAGAGAGGGCAAGGAGTCAAGCCAAAGCAAACAAAACCCCAAAACTGGAACATCTGCTTCTCTTTGAAGTGGAGATATGAGACAGGCTATGCAAATAACGGATGTGATTTTTGTGTGTGTGTGTGGTACTGGGGATTGAACTCAGGGACGCTGAGTACCACAGAGCTACATCCCCAGCCCAATTTTAAATTTTAAATTTCTATTTTATTTTTATTGATGATCTGGTCCAAGCCTTGAACTTGATCTGCTCCTTCTTCAGCCTCCTGGTTTGCCGGATTGCAGGTGTGACCACCATGCCCAGCTGAACATATTCATGGTTAACAGCTGCTGCAATGCTTCGACCCAAATCACAAGAAGCCCTCTCTGTACCCTGCCTTCCAAAAGCTGTGAGCAGTGCTACAGCTCTGACCTGCAGGCTCAGGAACAAAAGGCTGGCCCTGCCTGGATCCTTCTAAGCCAGGGTCAGCAAATGTTTTCTCGCACAGGCCAGAAAGAAAGCTATTTGGGGTATTTGGGGTCTGGCCCTTCCAGGTTCTGTTACAACTGCTAGATTCTGTCTTCACAACATGAAAACAGCCACAGACAATGCATAAGCTAACAAGCAAGACTGTGCACCAATAAAAATTTTGTTGTGTGTGTGTTTGGGGGGTACCAGGGATTGAATTCAGGGGCACATGACCACTGAGCCACATCCAGTCCTATTTTGTATTTTATTTAGAGACAGGGTCACACTGAGTTGCTTAGTGCCTCACTTTTGCTAAGGCTGGCTTTGAACTTCGGATCCTTCTGCCTCAGCCTCCAGAGCTACTGGGATTACAGGTGTGCCCCACTGCACCCAGCTCCAATAAAACTTTACTTACAAGAACAGAGAGTGAGCCAAACTTGAGACTCAGGAGGTTGAGGCAGAAAGATCACTAGTTTGAAGTCAGCCTGGGCAACTCAGCGAGACCCTTGATAAAATTAAAATAAATAAATAAATAGGCTGCTAATTCCTGTTCTTTTAAAAAATATTTTTAGTTGTAGATGGACACAATACCTCTATTTTATTTATTTGTTGTTAAGTGGTACTGAGGCTGGAACCCAGGGCCCCACACATGCTAGGCGAGTGCTCTACCATTAAGCCCCAGCCCCAGGCCCTGCTATTCCTGTTCTAAGCAGAAAACGATTTAGCTCAGCGACATCTAGTATTATAGGTCAAAATTTAAACTTTGATTTGACGATTTCTCCTAGGTCAACAACATCCTGAACCCCCCTCAGGGTGTGGGAAGCGCATGTACCTTCCTTTCCTTCTTCAACAACTGTAAGGAGCTGCAGGCCCCATCAAGATCCAGGTGCCCCCGCGGGCACTAGAAGCCAAAGCACAGTGCCTGCCCCTGTTCTCAGCACACTCCAGGGCTGGTGAAGGGGATGGACATTCAGACAGCTAGCTGGCAGCCTCTTGGAGGCACGGTGGAGTGACCATGCCCTTACACCTCTTATTGAAATGTTTAAGGTCACATGGACACATCTGTCCAGTAGCAGCAGCAGTGGTTAAAAACAAACCACGTAACTGGCTAACTCCAGGATGGGAAGTCTAAGGACACTGTGGGTCAGACCTAGGGTTCTGTGACGGGGACCTGGGCTGGGTCTAAAACACTGACTCCCCAGGTGGCCTTGTAAGGGCCTTATCCCTTCCTCCAGTTCAGCAGCCTATGTGTAAAGAACCTGCCTGAGAAGATCAGCATGGTTCATCATGAAGCAGGGGCTGCAGAGCCCTTCATGGTTTGGATCTTAAACATCCCCCAAGGGCCACTGTTGGAGGCTTTGTTGCCAGCCCCTGGGGGCCTATGGTGCCCTTGGGAGGAGGTGGAACCCTTAGGAGGCAGGGCTTGGTGGAAGGAAGTTAGGTCATTGGGGGCGCGGCCTTAAGGAGATACTGGGACCTCAGGCCCTCCCCCCATTTCATGGCCACTGAGAGGTGGGCAGCCCTGCTCTACCACATGCTCCCCATCATGAGGTTCCGACTCATCAAAGGCCCAGAAATCCCAGAGCCAACCAACCCTGGACTGAAACCAAGAACCAAAATAAATCTTTCTCCTTTTAAGTTGATTTTCTCATGATAGAAATCTGACCAACACAATCACCGAGCATGTAATCAGTTCTGCACAAACAGCAGCCACTTAGGTTCATGCATCCAACAACATCCGCTGAGAGCCTCCCAGACTCGTGCTAGGGCTGCCTGGAGCCACTGGGACTTTGTGCTCTAGGGAGTAGCCACCTGAGTCTCAGGTCAGCAGTGACTGGAGAAGCTGCATGTCCGGGTCTGGAATACAGGCAATCCAGGCTCTTCCAAGGAGTCCTCAGTCTGCATCTTCCCCTAGCACGGGCCCTTCACACTGTCTCATACCCCCAAGTCAACTCCATTCCCCAGGGCTCTTTAGGAACCTGTTAATTTTATGTCAATTTGATTGGGTCACATGGTGCCCATATATTTGATCATACATCATTCTAGGTGTCTCCACAGAATGTGTTTGAATGAGATTAATATATAAATCGATAGGCTGAGTAAAGCAGATCATCCTCCTAATGTGGGTTGGTCCAGTCCAATCAATTGAAGGCTGACCACAACAAAGACGCTGACCCTATCCTGAGTAAGGACAGAATTCTTCTGCCCAGAGGTTTCCAAAGGGGAACTTCATTTCCCCCATCTCAAGACCTGAACTAAATTATTGGCTCTTCCTGGTTCACATGCCTGCTGGTCTCCGGACTAGAACCAGGCTGCCAACTTTCCTGGGTATCCTGCTTATCTACTGCAAATCTTGGGATTTGTCGCCTCCGTAATTATATGACTCAACTCTTATAATAAATCACACACACACACACACAAACTCCCCACATGTATGTCCTTTGGGCTCTGTTTCTCTGGAGAACCCTGACAAACAGGCCAGTCCTTATTCTGAAGTCCAAGGTGATGGGTTCCAGGCTGCCAGCAAGCACGGTCCCTGTCTGCCCACTGGGTTGTGCAGTGCACACCAGAGGGGCTCTGTGCTGCAGCCTGGGCTCCCATCTCCCACCTCAAGAATTGTAGGCCCCTCCACAGAGCCTCCCCTCCCCGCTCCCCTCTGTCCCCTGCCCAGGGGCCATGTACTCAGCACCCCTGGGCAGGGAGATGGCTACCAGCCCCACATATTCCACTACCTCACCTCCAGGCACGCATCGGAAGCCATCTCCCTGGTAGCCAGGCTTGCATTGGCACGAGAAGGAACCTGGGGTGTTGTAGCAGAAGGCATCGGGGTGACATCGGCTGGGCTGACATTCATCCACATCTGCAAAACAGTCACAGGGCCAGGAGAGTGAGACTGCTTCTGGAATTTGTGGCTTACACAGCAACATAAGGCACTTACTCAAATCTATGGGGGCCAGCTGCGATGACTTTAAAGTCACCTTATATTAATTTTCTTTCTTCTTTATTTGACAAGGGGATCGAACCCAGGAGCACTTTACCACTAAGCTTGCTAAGATGCTGAAGCTGGCCCCAAACTTGTGATCCTCCTGCCTCAGCCTCCCCAGTGGCTGGGATCACAGGTGTGTGCCATCATGCCCAGCTAAATATTAATTATCAGGACACGAGGTCCTCAGTTCCATCTAGTACCTTTCCACCTAGTGTGTTTCACCTTGGCAATAATATTCTCATGAAAATGTCATGCTTGCCGAAGGGGAAAGAGGATTCATCTGCACCTTAAGATGACCCCTCCCATCATCAATGAGAGCTTCAGAAATGGCTGGGCGTTTGAAGACAGATCATTAACTGCTGGACAGAAGAGCCTCAGGGACGAGAGAAAATTCACTTGTGCAGTAACGAAGAGAGAGTATCTCAGAGGTGACGGCTGATCTTAGAAAGTATGCACATTTCAGAAACACTCTATGGTATAGTTTTAAGCAATTTTGTATCCAAGAGACTCAGGGTGATCTGTTCATGGACCATCTTACCCAGAATCACCTTCCAGGGCACCCTGTCTCCTAGGATGGGCTGATGCCAAACCTGAACTCTATGGCGTCATTTACTCTCTGACTCTGTCATTATTTATCCAATTAGGAAACTTTGCTTTTTGTGGAGAGGCTGGAGTGAGCCGGCTGAATAACTATGTGTATTTTACTAAATAAAAGCGTGGACTTTAAGCTATGAGCATGCAAGCACTGTTTATCCTTTTGTACAAGACAAACAACATTCCCAGTCCCCAACAGAGAGCAGGTGTCTAACTGTCGCCTCAGCGAGACAGTCACAGCGAGACAGTCACGTAGGACAAATCAGCAGGGGCTGAGAATAGCCCCCGAGAAAGCATATGGTTCCAGCTACAGCAGAGGTCAGCTGCCCACGTCCCGGGAGAGCTGAGAGGACCATTCTTTCTTATCATCTAAGGCAAGTTGGTGACCAGCGGAGCACAAGTCCCACCTAGGGACCCTTTTGGGTTACCTGGTGGGAAAGGGGGCACCACGCACCTTGGCAGGCTCGGCCATCCCCGAAGAAGCCGGGAAGACAGGAGCAGGCATAGGAGGAACCTCCTGTGTAGACGCACTGGGCCCGCTGCGGGATGTCACAGTCGTGAAGGCCGGTGGCACAATAGTTGATGGGGCGCTGGTCCACAATGGCTTCAGAACAAAAAGTTATCACCCGCTGGTGGAAGAGTCCCTGAGCATCAGGCACCTCCCAAGCCCCTCCTCACCTATGCTTTGGCCAAGTGGGGTATGAATGAGGGACAGCGCCTGGACGCCAGGTGTGCGGGGGTCACCGTGCTCTCCACTGTTTCCTGCTGTCCCCTCCTCCTGGACTGTGTCACACGTCCTCACTGACCAACACCCTGGTTGGGCATTCAGCCTGGCCCCACCTCAGCTTCACCCCAGGCTCTGGCCCAGGCCACTAACCACACCACAGCCTGCAACAGGCCCCAGGACCAAGCTCCTCCTCATCTGGACCCAGAGGCAGGACATCTGCAGAGGCCACACTCCCACGGCAACCCTGCTGGGGTGGCTTTGGAGCCAAGAATCTGAGACACATGGGGTCTACAGCTTTGGGCCCCCTGGGCAGACAGCATGTTCACGACCATTGCCAGAGTCCCCCCACTACCACAAAAATAGATAGTTTAGTACCATAAAGCATTTGAAAGCTAATGTTTTTACACCAGTTGGAAGGAAAGTACTTCCTAGGTCTTCCTGTGGCCGCTGTGCCCTCCGCAGGTCTGGGAGTTTGAGATGGAGAAGGCCCAGTGCTTCCCACCAGGTACTTCTTAAATTTTTCCTCTGTTGTTAACAGCTAAGGTTTGTCCCAAACACCTTGGCATTCAGACATTTAGCTTTGGTGGCCTCTGTCCAGGTCCATCCTAATGACTCCACCCCTCTGCAGCACTTCAGCTGTCCTCAATCAGGTCCCGAGGAGCCCCCACTCCCCATGACTCAGCAGAAGGTCTGTGGCCAGCTGCAGGACACTGCGCAGGCCTGAGCCTGCCTCTTTGTCTATATAAGCAGCACCCCCACCCCTGCCCTTTATCAGAACAGTGTGTGAGATGCTTCCTTGTGCTGCAGCAGAAGTTCTGATAAGGCCACTTGGGGGGTGGGGGTAGAGGCCCCTGGTTGTCACCTTTGCCTCCAATACAGCAGAGCTGGCTGCACTAAGAGCTATCAACGCAGAGCAGCTGGCACTGGGAACTACCAGAAGCCAGGCTGCCAACACTGGGGCAGAGGGAGAGAGTGGTAGAGGGCTGGAGAGCTGCTCCCTCAAGCTTCTGCCAGGCGGCCATGAGAAGGGCTGAGGCTGCGTCCAGCATGAGCTGAACTTGGAGGTGCAGAGAGCCACCCGCGCTCCACAGCCCGGCTGCTAACGCTCAGGGAGCTGTGATTTGCTTATTTGTGATTTCTATCTGAATTGTACAAAGGAACACTCAGCTGAGTGTGAGTTTTTTCCAGTTCTCCTGAGATAAGGAATCCAGGGCGTCCAGATGGCCTCGATAGTTTGTGCATGCAGAGAGCAGCATGGTACTTCGGAGAGCCAGTGGCCAGTGCCACAAGAGCAAAGCTGACCAAGAACTTCAAGAAGACCTGACACCCCAGTGGGGCACCAGCACAGCCTCCTTTCCCTGGAGGCCCTGGACTGCAGAGAGGTGACTTCCCTACCTCCCTACTCATTCAGCAAAGGGGAGCCACAGGATGAGGGCACGGGAAAGTTTTGGAAGAGGATTTGAAAAGATTCTCAAGGCAGGATTTCACTTTCCTGGTTCATTTATTCCTGAAGAGCAATTACCGGCTAAGGAGGACAGCAGGGTGGCTTGCCATGCTGGTTTGACAGGCAGGTCAGGGCTGGAAAATGAGGCAATAGGAGAGGGAAGGAGATGCCGAGGAAGGACAAATGGAGGGAAGGAGGGGAAGGGCAGGGGGCAAAGGAGGTTTCATAAAGCCCCCATTACTGAGAGTTCTAAAACGAAGATCATGGTGGACAGCTTTTCCTAACAGCTAGCAAGGGAGGGGACAGGAACACTAGGTAAGGCAAGGCCAAGGGGATCTGTGCACAGTAGCCTTCACCTGAGCTTGGCCCTGTTCCTGCCTTGAGAGGGGCTGGTGCATAATGTGTGCTGCAGAGATGTCCTATTGAGGGACAAGCAGAATCTCCAGGTTTCCACGCCCCATATACATGGTCAGTATCCCAGGGCCATGTCCACTCAGGTACATCTAAGGTGAATTATGGGCAAGCTAGGGCCCATCTCCTTCAAAAATGTTTTGAATATTTCAGTTAACTACAGAAGTTTGCATCTAGTGGAAAAGAAAGTCATAGGCTTATAGAAAATACCAGTATGCGAGTCTACTAGGCCCCAGTAATGGACAGCGGTCATGAAGGGAGACTCCTCTGTGACCAGCTCATGTGTCCTGCCTGAACCCTGGCCCCAAGTAGCTGGAAGGGTTCGTTCAGCCTCCTAAGCCACCAGGACTCATTCTGCACCTTTCCCAGTCTGTCCCACAGAGAAACCATCCCAGCCCACACTTCCTTGTATGACATTGAAGGAAGGAGATAAAGTGACACTCAATTATGCAGTGACAAGCCAGCTATTTAAACGTATTCAGCTAGATCTGGTTCCCAAAAGAGCTAACAAACAGGGTAAAGGGCTAAGCCGGATGGAGGTGCCCGGGACACTGCAAGTGGCTGGGGGAAGGGATGGGAGGAAGCCTCATGCAGCTGAACCCCGGGATCAGTGATGACCTGCACTGCTCACCCTTGTTTTTGAGCAGTGGAATCCACTATTCAAACACCTCACTCAGAATTTCATATACAGAAAAATGGAAGGCTAGTGACCAGGAGGAAAGAACAAGGGTCTGCCTGTGGCCTCCCTGTGGCCTGGGAACTCCTGAGGCACCTCCAAGAGCTCCATGGGACACAGGAAACCACTGGTCAAGTCCAGTCTGTTTACCTTAGAGATAAGGAACTGAGGCCCAGGGAGGATGAGTGTCCTCAAAAATCAAATGACCAGGAGCAGACATTTGCACAGCACTCTCCCTGCCCCTCCAATGGGCGTGGACATCAGGCATGGTCAGATCCAGGCCACCATGCTGCCCACACGTGTCCCAAAATGGATTTCAGTTACTGTGTACACCACCACCCGAGGGGTAAAGAAACTATTATCCATCTTGAGACAACATGGGCAGTAGATGGTGTTGCCATTAAAAGCAAACTTTGGAATCTCTTTGACCTCAAAAAGCAGAGGAGGAAGTCAGGCCAAATACAGAGAAACTGATGTTCTCCGTCAAGAGGAAAAAGACAAAACTCCAGCAGAGCAAGCTGAAATCCCAGCTGTGCAGGGGACGGGCCTCCCTGAGCCTGCAGATGTTTGGGTCACACTCAAAACATGAGAACTGCCTGTTCCCTCCACCCACAGACACACCTCACCCCGTGAACTTGGCTCCACGTCTGAGCTGCAAGACGGAGCACAGGGAAAGTACCCCAGGCGCTGCACGCAGGCAGGAAGGACAAAGTGACAGCTAGCTGACCCCACGTGAGGATCTGCTTTACGCTGACAGATGCTTGAGCTCAGGTGGCCATCCAGCATGTGGCCCTCTAAACCTGGGAACCTTAATGTCCTTGGAACCAAGGTCAACGAGCAGTGGCAGAACAAGAAAGGGTTTAGACAACGCTGTTTGTGACTGGCCCGTTGTCCCCACCACCAAACCATCAACCACCAAGAGCATAGCTAGCCTAGTCAGTAGTATCCACTTGCCTCAGTAAGACTAAAAAGTTGGGCAGGGTTTGTGGGCTCAGTGGTGGAGCGCTTGCCTCCCATGTATGAGGCACTGGGTTTGATCCTCAGCACCACATAAAAATAAATAAAATAAAAGTATTGTGTCCATCTACAACTAGAAAAAAATTTTTTTAAAGACTAAAACGGTACACTGTGACCTGCAGTTTATAAAATTAATACGCATAAATAGATGGAGTGGGATTTTAGACAGAACTCATGGAGAATCTGGTCTACGACAGCTAATAGCATAAAGATACCCGAAATTGGTCCTTATGCTGCACCCACTGCTGCTAATTAATGATGAGGGAGAAGCAAGTGGAAGAGCTTTCATAGCCACTAAAAGCATACCAAGAATGATTAGGAGAAGCTTAATGATGAAGCAAACGCACTGTGGACACCTGCAGCAGGCAAGCGGACAGTGTTACAGTCGCAGATGAAACTTCTGCAGCCTGACTCTCCAGGTAGGGGGAGGGCAGAGGAAAGGTCCACGGTCCTCTGGAAACTGCCCGTCTGATAGCAGAAAGGTCACCCGCTCCACCAGGACCGATACCAGAACGATCCCTCTCCCACAGGAGTCGGCAGGCACCGTGACACGCTTTGAAACGTTGCCTGAAGAACTTACCCACACACGTCCCCCCGTCTGAGAAGCGGTAGCCCTCCACACACTCGCAGCGGAAGGTCCCCGGGTGGTTATTGCAGATCGCGTGGCTGCCACACACCGAGGGTTGCTCAGAACATTCGTCAATATCTGCAGCAAAGTTTACAAACGTACTCTTAGCCTCTTCAAATGGCACTGAATATAATAAAATAGAAAGCATGCTCCCTGAGAACAGACCAATTTTCAGGCAGATTTTTATACATCCCCAAAATAGAGTGAAATGAATGTGTTTTTTCTGTGCATGGCTTCAGAGAGCGGTTCCCAGGCCCATCTCCTAAGTAAGCAGGTCCTTCCTCCACCTCTCCTGGAGTTCGTGTCTGCTCACAGAAGATTCATAAAGACAAATTTGAAGGACACAGGGACAAGGGACTCTGGATAAAAGCCTAAACTTGAGAGCATGTTAAACATACTATGGCTTAAAAATGTGACCTTTCTCCAATTACAGTTATAAAGAAAAGTTGGACAATTTAGAGCCTAATGTGAACATTTGAACGTTATCTGAAGCTTAATGGACTAAAAGGAAAGTCATCAACTCAGAGGAAGGCAAGTCCTTGTTCCAGAGCTGCAGAGCGGCAGTGCACTCAGGCTGGAGTACAGGCAGCACATGGAGCCAGCCATGCCATCATGGACCCAAGGCTCAGAAAGCCCGGGCACACCTAGCCCCATGGAGACCCAGCCCAGGCTCGGTGTGGCACCCACTCCACACAGTACTACAGCCGAATACCCTGAGCATTCACCATCCCAGGACCTCAACCTCCCACCTCCCCAAGAGCAGCAGCAAGAATACAGAAGTGGGGCAGACCTGCAAGGAATGCAGGGCCAATCAATAGCAATAGTCTTTCCCAACCCTGATAAGCCTAAGTTTGGACCAATAGCATTTCCAAACTCTGATTAGCATAAGTTTAGACCAATAGCCATTATTGCTTTTCCAAATCTGATTAGCATAAATTTGGACCAATAGCATTAGTGCTTTTTCAAACTCTGATTAGTATAAGTTTGGACTCATAGCATAGACCTTCTGTTGCACCCACTAATTAATAACGAGGGAGAAGCAAGTATTATATAAACCCCTACTCAGGCATCAGCCCCCATCACTCTTCTCTCTTGTTCCTGCAAGAGTTCTTTTTTGTACAGAGGATTGAACTCAGGGGAGCTTTAGCACTGAGGTAGGTCCTCAGTCCCTCTTATTTTTTTAAGATAGGGGCTCATTAATTTGCATAGGGCCTTGCTAAGTTCCTGAGGTCGACCTGGAACTTGTGATCCTCCTGACTCAACCTCCTGAGTTGCTGGGTCTATTCTTTATATCTAAAAAAAATTCTACTCCTTTGACCCTGACCTTCCATAGCAACAAGAAGCTGGAAGGAAGTTGGTGGCAAGCTTCTGAGGTCTGCTGCAACACTGGAGTGCACAGTCCACTCCTCAGAACTGCCCCTGCCCCTCCACAGTAGTGGAGAAGAACCCAGTTTTGCTGGCCATGGCCCTTGGCCCTGACTGTGGCAGGCATCGTGCTGTGATTAGCTGCCAACCCTAAAATGGGCTTTCTCGGCTGCAGAGACCTGCAGCTTGCACAGGCCATACCCACCATCAGTAAGTGGAGAATCCAATTTTGTCTCAAACTCTGGTCTCAATAAGACAGAAAGCTGGCCAATAGGGTGATGTCCTTTCATATGACAGTACTACAGCCATTGCCTTGGGGTGATGTACAGCAGAAGACATGTTTTGGAGTTGAATGTGCTAGGTTCAAATCCTACCTGCTTTGATTACTAGCTCTTGTGGTCTTGAACAAACTACCCAACTACTCAGCTTCAGTTTCCCCATTGGTAAATAATCATATTAATAATCATCTTGAAGGTTCTTCAGAGGGTTACAGAAAATGGATGCAGGCCAAAGGCATGCCTAGCATGCTCAAGGCACGTCACTTCTAAAATTATCAGGTATCCACCCTCAACCTCCAGCCGTGGTGAGGGGTTTGGCTGATTGCAGGGACACAGCCCTCAGATGGCCACTAAGCTTTGGGGGCCAGTCTGCAGCTGCCACTAGTGTAAGGCTGGTTGACGCAGACAAAAAAAAAAAAACTGACCTAACCTCTCATAACCCTGGTTACCTATCCATCAATGGGGTGAAACAAGGTCCTCCCCACGCCAACACCATTCTCAGAGTGTCTGAGATGTGTGCACAGGATTCCATAATGGCCGAGGCCACTCACCTCCCTTCCCCCCGTGAAGTCCCCTCCCCAGGGCTCTAATGTGAATCTTCCACACTTGGGAGGCGAAGCCTCTTGTCCACCTCCAATGGCCCATCTAGCCAGTCCCTTCCTGGGTGAAACAAATGCCTGCTGGCTTCTTGGACAAGCACTTTTGCCATATCAGCCCCATAGTTAGTCCTGTACCCAGCAAAATCCCTCCTACTAAAGCCCAAGTAATAGTCAAGTCTTTTTAAAAAGTGTGTGTGAGAGAGAGACAGGATCTCAGGCAAGAGGTCTGTGCCAATCACAGTTGGAGGGTTATGGAACAGTAAGAGCTAGGGCTGGGGTGGGGCTGGGGATGGGCAGCAAGGGTGGACCTCACCACTTCATCTGCCAGCTGCCATCAACAGCCTGGGAGATACATCCCAGTGCCCACCCCTGCACCACTGCCCCCAGAGGGTTCTCCTCGCACAGATGGCCAGACGCACTGTACAGGCTCCAGGGCCCCACAGGCTTAGACTCACCCCACCAGCACCAGAGTGCCGAGCAATAGTTTTCAATCAAGAAGACAGAAGAGCAAGATCACCAGGGGAACTTTTCCAAGCTCCATTCCTCCCCGGGAACATTTATAGAGAGGGAAGCTATGTGTTTTGAAATAGCTCATTAAGCAATCAGGCTCTTTCCACATGCTCGGCTTGCAGAACCAGAGACAAATAGGATCTGGGAGCAGAGGGACAAGGGAGGGAAGTGTCCCCAGCACAGCCACCCCCACCACACAGGTGTACACATACAAGCCAAGCCGGATGACATCCTTTCTTTAGAGACAAGACTCTCGCAATTTCCCTGTGAGTGTTTCATGGTCCTTGCAGTGTGGAAATTTTTCCTGAGGTGCAATTTAAATCTTCTCTTCTATAAATTGAGGCCAGAACCCTAAACTTTTCTTTATTGGGAACAGTGACCTGGTAACTGTGACAATTGTTTCTCCTAGCATACCATGGTGTCTGCTTGACGATGCTTGTTCTTCAGCTTCCGGTCAACCTTCTCTCTGGACAGAGATTCCCTTCACATGACCACTCTCCAGTCCAATAGCAAAATCCTGGATTATTCTTTTTTGCTTTTTTTTTTTTTCAGAGTGGCTACTTTTCACATATTTTCAAGAACTGTTGCTCTAATTCAGCTCTTTTTTAAAGGCCAGATCTTTGAGGAGACATGTTTCATTACTGATTTGTTAAATGCCTTCTACATACTCGAAAAAATCACTCCATGAGAGATTATGCAGTACAGCCTCGACAGACTCCAAATTGAGAAGCGCACAGGCACTGTTCTGCGGAGTATAGGGAATGAGAGTGCTTCGGTTCACCGGGAAATCTCCAAATTACCTGGGAGGTTCGCTGTGAGATGTCTAACCCAAGCCAGCTTGTGTTGGACGCCAGAAGTCATTATATCAATAGCACACACACCGAGTCACAAAGGCTCATCCTCATTCTCCTCCAAGGCACTTCCCAGGTCAAAATAACACACAAAGCGATCTGCTTAATGCAATTTCCTATTGAAAGCCTCATGTCCCGATGCATTAACACTCTGAAGCATGTTGTAGTGACCCAGAACAATGACCAGCCCGACTGGGAACAGCCCCACATTCCACAGAGCTAACATTCCAGAATGATGACTGACTTCAGCACAAAAGCAATGCACGTGACCACCTGCCCTCCTGGGCAAGGGCCTCTGAGAACTTCCGAGGACAGCAGCTGATGGCATGAAGCATGTCTGGCGGAGCCTTCCAAGCTGAAGCCACCTCTGCACCAAGCTCAGGTGCCAAGAGCAGAGTCAGCCTGAAGGTCACAGTCAACAGCAGGAGGCTGGGGTCTCCCACAACTCTCTAACACTCAGGTGGCTTATGAAGCTGCTGTGGTTGCATAAGGACTGAGGAGGTGTGGGCGAATGAAGGAGGCCCACCCTGCATGGTGTCCATCACCTCTGCACAGTGCAGGACAGCTCTGCATATCCAAACAGTGCTGTGCTGCTAGGGACTGTCCTGGGTCAACACAGTCACCCAAGACCATCTCGCTCCTTAGGGAAAGACTGGGCAACTGACAGTTTAGGTGAACAGGCACTGTGTCCTCTCGTGTGGAGTGTTACCAAGAAGGTGAGTCTCAGATTGGATTCTTCCACACTACAAAGCTATCAGCAAGCTGGCCAAATAAGCACACAGCCTATCTCTGTGTCAAGGCCCTGCCCTCCGATGCTTCAGGCACCCCGATGAGCACCTTGCATGCAAGAGTCACGGAAGCAAATGCCACAGTACCCTGCCTCAGGACCTGCTGAGTTTCACAGTGAATCACACACCAAAGCCACAATCAGTCAGTGGAGTTGAATTCCAGTTTAAGGCATTACTCCCAAATTCCAAGGCTGTCGACTTGCCAGATTCTGATTCCCCAGTCAAGCAAGGGTGGAGGGAGCTGCCTGTTTTTCTGGGCAAACATATGAGAATACGCTCCTCCCTGCGCCAGGGAACCTCAGGTCTAGCATTCCTTACCCTTACTAGGGGGTTCTTTACTGCAGATTTAAGTAGTGCTGGTTGAGGAGCCAGACATTCTTGCCCTGGTATTGGATTAAAATTGTTAACAAACGTAAATATCAAGCTATTCACAGGAAAGCCTTTGAAGTAAAGTCATAAATAGTAAAATAAGTGCTACAAGAAGGCAAAGTAATGCAGATGCTCAAGTCACAGGCTTGAGTTCAAATACTCTTTGTCACTGGCTCATGTTAATGAGCCTCTATTAAAAAAATAACAAGTGCTGTCAAGGGTATGGAGAAATTGGAACCTTGTGCACTATTGATGGGAGTGCAAAACAGCACAACTGCTATGGAAAGCAGTGTGGGGGTTTCTCTAAAAATAAGCATAGAATGACAATATAATCCAGTAACCCCATTTGGAGTATACAGCCCAAAGAACAGAAAACAGGGGCTTCAACAGTATTTGTATACCACGTTCATAACAGCATATATTATTGGCAACAGCCAAAAAGGTGGATGCGGCCCATGTGCCCATCAACTGATAGATGGAGAAATAAAATGTGGTATGTATACACAATGGAATATTATTCAATTTCAAAAAAAGAAATTCTGACACGTGCTATGTGTAAGAACTCTGAGGACATTGCAGTATGTAAAATTAGCCCATCACAGAAGGACAAATACTGTGTGATTCCATTCGTTTGAGGTTCCAAGAAACATCAGATTCATAGGGACAGTAGAATGGTGGCCAGTGACCCAGGGGAAGGGAAGAGGTTATTTAACAGGCTCATAGCCAGTCGTGTGAGATGAAGAGTTCTGGAGGACAGTGGCTGCAGAGCAGCAGAATGTCCTTAACCGCACTGAACGGCATAGTTAAAATGGCACATTTTACCACAATTAAATGTCAGCTTTTAAAAGAGGAATGAAAGACTCTATCCTATGAAAGTGCTAGAGAATTAGACGAGATGGTGTTTGTGAAGCACTAAATGCAAACAGCGCTGGGTGAACCCAGCCACAGCTATGTCACTGTCTCTTACCTCCCTTCAGCCCTGTGCACTCTGCACGGAGAGCAGTGTGGCCCAGGGACGCTGCTGGCAGCTGGGCGTCTACACGTCACATGTACTGTACTACAGGGACGGAGCCCCCCTTACCCGGGATAGCAGTGCTGACGTACACCATTCAGGCATGGTACGTCCTTCGACATCTGCATCTCACCTGCGCTTCCACCCCGGATCCAGCTTTTGGCCCTACAGAATCTGGATGCTCCTGCTAGCCCAACTGCCCCAGCCCCAGTGAGCCAGAATCAAAGACTGTACCGTAACAGATCCGCCCGTCTCCTCGGAAGCCGATGGAGCACTCGCAGGTGAACTGTGTCCCAGGTCCAGGGCGACAGGCCGCGTTGGTGTCACACCCGTGAGTGCCGATGTAGCAAGGGTTCTGAAGAGCATCCGGGGAGCCATCTGTGAAGGCAGGGGCAGTGGGACCCAGTGAGTGGTCAGGAATTCCCCCAGGCCTCCTGCCCCAGAAAGCAAGCAGCGACTGAGAGCTGTGGGGGCTGAGCCAGCTCCTGCATTTCCTGGGCACACTGTGACGCTCCTCCACCTGGCTCCCTCCATGTTTCTGAAAATAAAGTTTTACTGGCAACCAGTCATACCCATTCACTTACAAATGGTCTATGGCTGCTTTCAAGCTGCCATGGCAGAGCTGAGATGTATGTGATTGGCAGAGGCTGAAATATTTACTATCTGTTCCTTCAAGGAAAAAAAAATGTGCCAAGCATCATGGCACACTGCTGTAATCCCAGTGACTCAGGAGGCTGAGAAAGGAGGATCACAAGTTCAAGGCCAGCCTCAGCAATTTCGTAAGACTCTCAGCAACTTAGTGAGTTCCTGTCTCAAAAATTTTTTAAAAATTGGGCGGGGGGACTGGGGATGTAGCTCAGTAGTTGAGCACCCCTGAGTCCATTCCCCAGTACCAAAAAAAGAAAAAAGAAGGGTGGGGAGTGCTGTGCTTGCTCCTCATGCTCAGAGACATGGCTGTCAACAGGGAGAACCTCAGCTACTTCCCGCTGTCCCAGAGCTAACCAGGGACAAACCAATAGTTGGGGAAGTGACTTGGGGATGGAAGAAGAATCACATCTGGAAAAAGGACATGCCCCAGTTATGCAGGACCTCATGGGGACAATGGGAGTATAGGCGCTGACATGTGGCAACAGCACTCCCCTGGCAACCCCTTCCACCAGCCCAGCCGGGGGGTGTGAATCTCCGAGAGCTGGGCCTGGGCTCTGTGCATGACTCATTCACATTTCCTCAGGCCCTAAGCACACGGTTCCTCCAGAGTGGAGTATCTGGGTGTTTGAAAGGTCCCGTCAGGAAGAGATGAAGAAATCGTGGTAGACGTCCATGATGGAATGTCATCAGCCATAAAGAATGGAATCTACTGGGCACAGTGGTTCACGCCTGTAATCCCAGCTGCTCAGGAGGTTGAGGCAGAAGGATTGCGAGTTCAAAGCCAGCCTCAGCAACAGTGAGGAGCTAAGCAGCTCAGTGAGACCCTGTCTCTAAATAAAATACAAAATAGGTCTGGGGGGGCTGGGATTGTGGTTCAGCGGTAGAGCGCTCATCTAGCACATTCGAGGCCCTGGGTTCGATCCTCAGCACCACATAAAAATAAATCAACAAAATAAAGGTATTGTGTCCAACTACTTCTAAAAAATAAATATTTTTAAAAAAATAGGGCTGGGGATGTGGCTCAGTGGTTGAATGCCCCTGAGTTCAATCCCCAGTACCCACTCCCCCCAAAAAAAGAATGGAATCCTGTCATCCATGACACGATGTTAAATAAAATGAGTCAGCCACTGAAGGACAAACACTGCACAATGTCACTTAAGTGTGGGGGCTCAATATAGCTAATGTAGTTGATCTCATAGAAGTAAGAGTAGAATAGTGGAAACCAGAGGACAGCGAGGAGAGGGGAAAGGGGGCTCACGGGGTGCAGCTGGATGGGAGGAATAACTCCTCACATTCTATAGCCCAGCAGGGGACTGAGGTTAACGGCACTTACTTCAAAATAGCCAACAGAGGGAATTAAGACTGTCCCAACTCGAAGAAATGATAACGTTTAAGGGATGAATACCCAATTTCCCTGACCTGATCATCATACATAGTATACCTGCATAGAAATGAATTACTATACCCCACTAATATGTAGGAGTATTAATGTACCAATTAAAAACAAAAACAAAAAATTTAAAATGTCCTGTCCAAGCCAGCTGCTTGGGACCCCGAAGCGTCACTCATCTGTTAGCTTTTGGCACCCCGCCCCGCAGAATCCTAACTGGGTTTGGCAAGAATCACAGTTGACAAGCAATTTTTTTTTTCAGAAGACATTTGAGCACAGTTTTCCTAGGAGAGTAAGAGATTAAAAACCCCAAAGTCACAGAGCGGAGTTTCCAAAGAGCGAGGGCAGAGAGGCACGGCTCCGTCCCTTACCCCGCACAGGCCCGATGGAGTTGCTGAGAGCGTAGCGCAGGATCCTCTCCTCCTGGTTGTACAGGACGAACACGCTATCCACCGAGAGCTGCTGCGTGCTGGGCAGGGCCGGCCGGGAGGCGTCATGGACACACTCCTGGAAGGTGATGGTCTGGCGCCACTGGTAGGTGTAGGTGTGGGAAGGCGTGGCCCCGTCCCGCTCGGGCTCCATCACCGTGTACTCCCTCGTGGAGGAGGAAGTGATCACTGGGTGGGAGAAAGACAGAGACCTTCATCTCCTCATCCAGGGCTTTGAAACCACAGGTGGCGTCCGGTCCATGATGCAACCAGAGGGCTGGAGGAGGAAGGCCACACACGCTGCCTGCCACATGTCCCTGACCATCACTGATAGCCCTGGCGTTATTAATATCGGCTCCTTTGTGAATCAAGTAACTCTCTGTAGGTGCCTAGGACTCCCAGAACTAGAGGCAACGTCTGGCAGGAAGAGCTCAGGAGACAGACCTGGATGAGACTGCCCACCAGCTGCCAGCAGCACTAGCTTCGGTTTCTTTTGCAGAATGAGCTGGGTGCAGATTAGATGAAGTCACATAGGTAAAATTTGGGGAAGCAAGCAAACCCTATTACCAAGACAACCACCATTTCCTGAGCACTCACTATATGACGAGCAGCATGCTCCCTGCTTTCTGTAGTTGACTTCACTTAGGAGTCAGTAAACAGGGTTTGCACCACACCACCCCAATAAAGCAGTGCTGTCATATTTTAAAAAATGGAAAACTAAACGCATCTTAGCAGCCAGTTTTGGCAAAACTACTCAAGTGTCCTGAGCAAACCTCAGCAGAGGAGAGGAAAGGCCACCCCAACACAGAACAGCTGCTATTCGCCCATGCGACGAAACCCTCCACTTCCTATTTTAAAAAAAAAGTATAAAAGACTCTTTATAGTTTTGTGCTCTGCTGCAGTTTGCTCCATAATAGAAATATGAAAGCCAAAGGGTAAACACCAGTCAGTGGCTGCCTCCTGTCCCGCTCCCACACGCCGCCTGCCAGAAAGGCCATCTGGCCCGGCAGGCTGCGCCCCATGGCCCTGGGGCTCCCCCACAGGCTCCCACCCCAGGACTGGACCAAGCCCAGGGCCCTGGACAGTGATTTCATAGGGGCCTTTTAAATAAAGTCCTATTGTTTGACTGAGTACCTCTGTTTCTAGGAACTGAGTCTCAGAAAAGTCAGAAATCTGGCCAAGAGTTATATGAAGATGGTCATTTCAACTCCTCATGAGAGGAGAGCTGGAAATAGCCTGAACTTTAGAACACAGGATAAGGACTTAAATTAACAGGCATCCAGCAGAACTGATCTACATAAAATAATACATCCAATTATAAGTTGTATAATCATATCAGTATTAAATTTCCTGATTTTGATTGTTATAATGTAGAATGTCTTTGTTCTTAGGAAAAACACATGAAGTGTTTAGGAGATGAACTACTGTGATGTATACAACCCACTCTCAAATGGTCAGGAAAAAAACTGCATACATGTTCACACACATAAACACACACACATGCATACGCAGAGACCTGGCAAAATGTTAACAATGGATAAAGCTGGATACATGGTGTGTGGAATTCTTTTTGGTAACAAATAGAGAATAAATGCAGTTTAAAAGCTACAGATAGATGTTTATTACGGTAAAATTATATTATTTTATTTTGAACTATGGAATATGTTGGGATATTTGATGATAGATGATGGGGAAGGGAATTACTCTTAAATTAATTTCCAAGTTAAGCTTATTCCTGTTTTGCACCAATTCCCTACAAGTACACCCCATGTCTATCACTGGGGGACAGAAAGTGTAATAAGCGAAGGTCTGCATAATACCCTCCAGACCCCAGAGTGGCCAGGCCCACGAGGGCACAAAGCTGGTTGGAGCACAGGGTAATGTGGCGCTGTCCCTGGGCTGGCCCAGGCTGGGACTCACCAGAGCTGGAGTAGTGGTAGAGCTCTGTGTAAGGCTCCATGTGCACAGAGGAGCCGAACGGGATCTGCGGCAGGCGGCCCTCCAGCTCCGTGTCGATGGTCAGGTGCCCGTGCTCGTCGATACCACTGAACTGCTGCTTGATGACCAGCTTGCCAGGGTGGCCCACAAAGGTCACTTCAGCCTGCCGGGTGAACTCGCCCCCTGGAAAGCAACAGTGGCCTGTCATTCCGCGGTCAGGCCACCCTCCTTCCCATCACAGGCTCGAGGGCAATGCCACAAGGTGCGAGTGGGCAGGGACCTCCTCTGAAGGTGCTTCAGCCTGGCTGGTAGGACATGGGGCTGGAGACACTGAGGAATCCCAGTGGTCCAATAAAGACTCGCAGAGGACAGAAGTCGCTTCCCAGCCACACACCAGCATCTCAATGCACTGGCTCCAGGCTGGGTCAGAAAAAGCAGGGGACTTGTGTCTGCTCCCAGCATGCCTCCTTCTGGCTGGGTGAACTTGAATAAGTTGCTTAACTCCTCTGAGCCTTCATTTCCTGATGTTATAAAAGGGGGACAATCTATCTTATAGGGATTAGAGGACAGGAAATATGTTAAAAAGTGTTTGGGGGCTGGGGTTGTGGCTCAGTGCTTGCTTAGCATGTGTGAGGCACTGGGTTGGATTCTCAGCACCGCATAAAAAATAAATAAAATAAAGGTATGATGTCCATCTACAAGTAAAAAAAAAATTAAAAAACAAATGTTCTGCACAATTGTCCAGCGTTCTGTGATGACAGTAAGGTGATAATTTTTGAAACAGCTAAGTCCCAGTCAGGATGGGCCCATTGCTCAGGGAAAACCATCAACAGTACCAGATACCACCCTGAGATCACTGGCTTCGGTGTTGAGCTGGGACCTCCCCCTGGTCTGAGCAAGGCAGCAGCCCAGACAGGCAGGGGAATGCTCCCCCTTGTCCACAAGGGCATGCCCCCACCACAGGAGGGGACAGCAAACCAGGCCCCCGGGCTGGGCCACACGGGCTGCCTCCTTTGCATCAATCTCAAGAGAAGAATGCTCTTTACATTTTAAAATGGTTAAAAATAATCAAAATAAGAATGTTGTTTCATGTGAAAAATATATGAAATTGAAACTTCAATGCCCATTAATAAGGTTTTACTGAAACACAGCCTCCTCCGTGTACATACTGTCGACGGTTGCTTTCTCTCTGCAGTAACAGAGTTCAGTGGCTGCAACAGAAGCCATGCAGCCTAAAATATTCAGGCCAAGCTTTAAGTATTTACTAAATTGCCTTTTGCAGGAAACGTGTGACAACTTCTGCTTTGTCATTACCCAATTTCCAGGGAAATATCCAATTAATAACATAAGTCCTGGAGAAATTAAGAGTTACAAAGGTTTGCTGGTGCAGGGAATTTGAAATTCCCCCTCTCCTATGCTACAGAGCGTCACCCATTAGTAGTAACCCACTACAAGCAGCACCCTGGGGAAGCTGTGCTAGGAAGAGCAGGGTCAGTGGGCTGCTGCAGCTCAGCTGTCTGCAAAGAGCATCTTGCTTGCGTGAGAACATGGATGTGGTTACAATATTCAAAATACACAGGCCTATAGAACAGGAAGAAGACCCAGGCCCAAACCGGCAAGTCTTAGGGTAGTGCACCCTGTTCACGCCAGGTTCTCTCCTTTCTAAATGGCCACACTTCAGAAAATTGTGCATTTTCACATCTAACTTATGGATGATGACCAGGGTAAAGCCAAGGCAGAGGCTCTGCTCCCAGCAGAGTGTCCACTAACCAGCCCAGGCTAACGCTCAGATACCTCAGGCAGTGAGGGAGGGAAGGCAGGTATAGAGAGGTGACACCCAGCATGACAGGGGGTGCCCAGAGATGAAGGATGAGGCTCCTCCACCCAGCTGTGTCCAGGAATGGGCCCTGGCACCCTCAGGTGGACTGGCCTTGGCACAGCAAAGGAGGGGCTCCCATCACACCAAGGGAATATCCCCCAGTTATCTGCCCACATATCCATGAAGGCCTGCACTTTCCTCAACAGGGCACAGTCTCCAAGAGCCTTCATGGCTTCCTTAGATCTTGAGGGTGATGGTTATCAGGCTTAATTCACCAGCTGGACATGGCAGGTTCCTATTCTCTGACAAGATACTGAGGGAATGTCCAGTCAGCTCAGATTGCTTTGGAATTTGGAGAAAGGCTTGATAAGGAGGAGGAGGAAAGCCCCAGCACCGCCCTTCTGGCTGTGGGGATATGTGAGCTGACATCACTTGCTCTGTAGAGATTTCTATTCTGAATAGCCACCAAGAAATTGCTCCCTGTTCAAAACAATTCTAGGCAGTCTCAGTTAATAAGTACTATGTGTTAATCTGACCTCATCGTTGTATTTCCAGAGCAGAACTATAGTGTACCCTTCTACAGACAAAATGCTTATCAAAAGCTGCCTGCAGGCTCAGGGTGCCCTCTCCACTCATTCCCAGGCCTTCCCAGGCCCCCCGTTAAACTCTGATCTTAACGTCAGATGTAAATTACCAGTGATGCTGAACCCATTCTTGAATCCGTCCTGCTCCACTGCAAACATCCATCCAATGATGCCTCCAATGGGCGCCAGAGGAAGCAGAGAATAGCCGATGGTCTCGGGAATGGTGCTGATGGCCGTGTAGGAGCGTCCATGGTTCATCACCACGTAGGAGTGGAGGTCGGTGTTCTCGAAGACAACGGGGACCTGGCTGCTCCCCACAAAGATCCTTCCCTTCACCTTGCCATTGACACGCTGAGGGGAACCTGAGCCAGAAACAAAAGGAAGAGGTGGAGAAGGCTTTCCAGCAAGCCTTCCAAAGGAGCGTGTCCACAGAGCCTGCACCCATTCATGAAGAAAGCACTGGGAAAACATATGCAACCACAGCCATGACCATGCACTGGGAGTCTTAGAAATTCCAATGTGGCTGCCTCTCTTCCAGGTCACTGACAGTGGACAGAGTGAAAGATAGCTCCACTGGGAGTCACCGCGTGATCTGGAACTTCAGAGGCAAGTAATTCCAGGAGAAGAGCAATATCACAGACACACTTGCCAGCACAATAGCACCTTAGATCATATAAAAGATCTTTTGAGAGTAAAAGAGCAGAATTACTCATTCTCCAGGACAGCACTGAAACTAAACTGAATGGCCCTAGGAATCTGGGGCATGTGGCGACTGATCCACAAAACAAGCCCATGGGCTCAAGTATGTCTTATTTCCCAAGTTTAGGGTGGACACGTGAGTCCTGCAGCTTCACATAGCACAATCCAGAAGAGATATGGGCAGGGTGAGCGTCACAGACCACAGACAGGTCCTCTGAAACACAGCCACTTGGTAGACTGGGGCAGAGGGAAGTTTCTTTTAGGCAACTGGAAACGATGTGATTGATACCTGACACAGCACATGGAAAATATCATTGGCTTTAGAAACTACCTTCATGAGTGTTAGCCTACAGCTGGGGGAAAACTGCTAACAGAAGCTAAGTCGGAAGAGTATGGTGAATCATTTTTCTGCATTACATATCTGAATATTTATAACTTGTATGAATTTGGTATTGTTGAATAAATAAAAATAATAAGAACTAAAGACATTAAATTGCTCTTATTGTATTTAGATAAGAAAACTGAAGGCTACCATATGACCCAATAATTCCAATTCCTCAGTATATACCCAAGAGAACAGAACACATATGTCCACACCAAAGTCTGTACACAGATGTTCTTAGCAGCTTTCCTCATTACAGCTATAAACGGAAACAATCCAAAGGCCCATCACCCGATGAATGGATAAACAAAATACGACTATCCATCCACAGGTAGTATTTGGCGAGAAAAAGGAATGAAATGCTCATGTGGACTTCAACATGGATAAACCTTGAAAACACTGTGCTGAGTGAAAGAAGCCAGACACAACAGGCCACAATCACATGACTCCATTGATATGAAACGTCCAGAACAGGAAAAACCTACAGGAACAGAAAGAAGGCTGGTGGTGGATGCAGCTGGGAACTCTGGGGAATTAAGAGTGGCTGCTGAGAGTGACAGTGATGAAAATGTCCTAGGATTAGACAGAGGCGATAGTCGCACAACATTGTGAATCTACTAAACCCATCTAATTGTCTATCTTAATCAGGTATGTGAACTGTATCTCAAAAAAACAAAAGCCGAAGGAAGAGGTAAATAGAAGATAAAATGAAGGTCACCTTGGTTGCTTAGATGTGACAGTGAATTAAATTCTATCAGCTACTGAGCATGTATCTTGTTTATCCTCCTGGATTTGAATCACCAGGAACATGACTCACCCATCCCCCTCACTTGTTCTTGGCAGGTTTCTTCACTTAGTAAATTCTCAGTAAACTTTGTGGAATAATCCTACACAGATGGGCTCATATCTTGGGGGCTCCCTATGTTCTGGTGACTTTTTGTTGATAGGACATGCCCAGATTGCTAAACAGGGTCACTCACAAGCCAGGTCCTATCTGACAGAGCAATTCTGCACACATTGTTCGATTACACTGGAGAATGCTATGAATCCAGCAGGCTAATAGCGAAAAAATGCATCCCAGAACAAATCCAGAAACAGGCCGGAAAGCCAAGTGGACACAACCAACAGAAACTTTCCATCAAACTTTGAGCTAGGAAAAAAAAAATTAAGTAGCAAGAATGCAACAAATATTTAAACCACGAAACTATTATGGGGTGTGTATATAACATCAAAATTTGTGGCTGAACAGTCTGTGATCTCTGAGCTTGCTGCCAAACAAACTGCTCAGCATTCCGAGCTCTGCTCTTTTTGGTGGGGGTTAGGGGGAAGGGGGGTTGATGAGGTTGCTCTTTAAGAATAAGCTCTCATTGTGGATTTTGGAAGCTTCTCCAGGGTGGGGAGGTATAAAAGCCAAGCCTGAAACAAAGAGGCAAAGGCACACAATCCCTGGGGTGAGGAGATTTGGAAGAAAATAGAAAACACTCTAAAGAAGTTAAAAACAACCCCCAAATTAACATGAAAAGTATACTGAATTTTCTTCCATGGCTGAAGGTAGTATTTTTAAAAAATAGAAATTAAAAAAAAAAAACTTTAATTAAGACTCAGAAGGAAACAATGTTTTGCTTCTGGCAAATTAAAATGACCTGACTTAACAACAGCTATGGCAAAGAATCTGAAAAGCAGAACACATTTCTCCAACTGGGATTCATTTAGTAGGATTTTACAAAGCAATTGAAGTTCTCATTAAGCATACAAGGAAACTGACCCATGAGAAGGGAAGCAATTGGTGGCAGATGAAGGGACAAAGGCTTAGTGTAGTGGGGTTTTTTTTTTTTGTTGTTGTTGTTGTTTTGTTTTGCTTTTTTAATTCTGGCCTCACTCTGAGTGAACTGGATTTGCCCAGAGAAGATTCCTCTGACCATCTGGGAGCATCAAGACCAGTTCTGAGGAAGGACTTCAGAGCCCACAGCCCATCCTAGAGTCCCCTTTGGAGCTGGTCCCACAGTGGTCCAGCGCTCTGGGATTAACAGAGTGCACCCCTGAGCTCCACCACAGCCCTGCTATGATTTCAGGGCACCAGGAAAGAGAAACACAGGGAGGACCTCTGGGGTAAACCTGACCCGCTGCAAGCCACGGGCTAAGCCAGCATCCCTGGGTCCAGCCAGGGGCCACTACCATTAAGACAGGTCAGTGAACTGCACCAGGTAGAGACTCCAAGGACAAGGACATGGAGAAGGCTGGCAGAGACTGTGGCAGGTGAAGGGGCTAAACAACACCTGGTCCAGGCTGTGACACTTCAGCCCTGGGGTTGCCATGAAGAGGGACACTAGATGCTCCCAGAGGTGGTCACCTCCAAGATGCAGAAGTAGCACAGGAAAGAAAGGAACTTCTCCATGTTAGAAAAATGGGCATGTCCAGAGGAAGGTAGGTTAGATTAGGGGAAGGCACAGGGGAGAGTGGTGGCACTCCGCACAAACCTCCCACGATCCTGCCACTGGGACTAGCTGCACTATAGACACACACAGAAGCAAAACCCCACTCCTCCTCCTCCCCCAAGCTGAGCAGTAAGGACCAGTTACCTTCTGCAACGCACTGCCTGCCGTTGCCGGTGTAGCCCGCCACGCAGCGGCAGCAGAAGCCTGTGGCGTGGTCCCTGCACTCAGCGTGCACCGAACATTGGTGCCTGCTGTTGGCGCACGTCTGCCGGGAGTCCGTGTTGTAGCTGAACACTGTTTCAGGAAAGAAGGGCACACGGGTCAGCACTGTGCGGGACCAGGAGGCATCTCCCAGGGCGCCCCCAAGCTCTGCAGAGCCCTACCTGCCTGGGCGTTGGGGACCCAGCTCACCATGGAAGACCCTAGCCCACTGTACACAGTTAGCAGGGTGACAGGGCTCCGCTGTGCACAACTGGTCTAAAACAACTGAGACCTGACAAGACTGAACTACTAGAACCACTTATAACCCAGGGTTCCTGGTATCACTGAAGCTCTGCCATTCAGAGTCCAACGAATGTGATGTCTGATGTGGCCAGAAGGATCAGCTTCACATTTGGGGGAACCTTAAAATATATCTTTGTTTTTCTTTTTTTTCTTGTGGCAAAATATATATAACATAAAATTTGCCATTTTAGCAACCATTAAGTACGTGTATTTACTACATATTTATGTAAATCTCCTCCTTTCTCCCCGGGAACAATTCAAAAGCTGATCAGAAATAATCCCTCAGTTACAGTTGTTCTAAAAAAAGTCTTTGACCCAAGTATCAAAAAGAATCTCTCCTAGTTCAAATTCCCACCTCCCAAGTTCATTTTATTAGAATCATGAACTAGCCCATTAAATTTAATGATCCATAGCAAATTAATTTGGAATGAGTTCAAAAGCACAAGAAGAGTGAACTTTTAGAGGGAGTAATGATCTCATTTATAATTGACTGTTACCAGTGAAGATCAAAGTAAAGTTTAACCCCAGGTAGATTCCACTGGTCCTGCAGGCTGGTAAGGGAATTTCCGGTGTGTGTAAGGATAATGTTCACAGCAAGAAGCACTTGGGCCCTGACTCAAAAGGGGACACTGATTGCATAAGCCCCAGCTGTGACCAACTCTCAGGGGGTCCACTGTGACCTGAGGGTGACTATGCAGACAACACCAGGAATGCACTGCTGACCACAGAAGGCTGACCTTTCTAATAAACACAATAGAATAACTGGAATAGAGGGACAGTAAAACATCTGTTACAGACACATTTTGAGTTCAAATCTAGGCTTTTTCCAGTATCAAGTAATACACCGTCTTAAGTTGTTGGGGCTAGGTAGGGTCTTCTTTAAATGCAACAGCTTCACAAATGAGAATTTCAGAGATACCTAGAAAGGGTGGAAATAGGATGAGTCTTCAGGCTCAATGTCTGCAAATAAGCATAGTGAACTCTTCAGAAGATTAAACTGGACCCATGACAGAGTGCCACAGCCTGAGAGATGTGGGCCTCACCCCAGGAATCCCAGTGCAGTGTGTATGGGGAACCCTGAGACAGAAGCCCATGTCCTCGTCCTGCTGCCAAATTCAACTCCTTCATTTTTGTGCCTCAGAAGTGAGTGATCACATTGCTTGGTAAGCACCCCATCCTGTCTGTAGTTTGGGGTGCTCAATAAGAACCAGCCTTTCTGACTATCACTATGAGATACATCAAAACAAATAAGGAGAAATTAAAAAAAAAAAAAATGAAGAGTGTGAAAAGAACTAGACTCTCCTGGGGCCTCATGATAACTTCTTAGTAGAAACAGTAAAGAATCATAAAAAATAGGTTCAAAGGCTTAAACCATCCCACCCATAAGTCTCAAAGGATTATACAGCAATCTCAAGAGAAAAAAAACACACTTTAGTTTGAACATCTCTTATTAGACAAATTAAATCATGTTCAAACTATTTTTTCCTCAAAATGTAGAAAAACCCCAATATAGTTGACTAACAGATATTAAACTGTAAAACTATTTTTTAAACACCTTTGTTTTATTTATTTATTTTATGTGTTGCTGAGTACTCACGCTAGGCGAGTATTCTACCACTGAGCCACAACCCCAGCCCTGTGAAACTATTTTTTAAAGGGCATCTGCTCATTTTGAATTTTTTAATCTTCACAAATCAACTCTGAGACTGAGAGGTCCTGGGAGGAAAAATAATCAGCCATTCTAATTCCAAAAAACCAAGAGGAAATACATGTCAAAGATAAGCCACATAAATAGCCAAAAGAACTTTTACAATGTTTTTTCAGGTGGGTGAATACATTTCTGATCTCAGAAGTCACAAATAAGAAATTCTGACTTTCAAAATAACTCTAAAGCATGTTTCTCTTTAAAACAGACAGAATGGAATACGAGGAATCTTGAAAGAGGACACCTGGCACCCCTTGTCTCTAGAACCATAGTCTTAATCCCAGGAGAGATCACTGGGCTCTTCAAAGGCACCAGGGCTACACCCCCATGTGCCCAGCTCTGAGTTCAGCCCCTCTTCCCTAAGCACCCACTCTTAGAAGCCCCCACACAAAGCATGTAACCCACACCCCAGCAGTACTCCCCTCTAGAAACCCAAGGGTCCAACTGCAACTTGACTGGTCTTGAGGGGTCTTACCAACTCCCGTTTCCTCCACTTCATCCACATCGATGACCTGGGGGTGCTGCTGGGGAAACTTCTCCGCTGGCAGTTGGAAGGACCTGGTCCTCTCTGTGGAGGATCCTGAGGGTCTCTCAGTAGCCCCATGACGGGGGGAGAGGACACTGGGGACATTGTATGTGTCAGTGTCTCCCCTCCTTGAAGTCTTGTAGGGGAAGGATGTGGTGCCCACATCCTCCAGGCCCACAGGAGGAGTCACCAGGTCATAATCTTCATCCTCCTCCTCATACTGTGCTCCATCATCTGGTCCGAGGTTCACATCTGCAGGTACTACGCCACTGGCCGTGGCCGGACTCCCGATCTCAAACACCCACACGCCTTGGTGCCCAGAGTTGCTACTCCTAGGGGGCAAGGAAGGCTTCTTGAAAACTGGCCAGCAGGGGATAAACCCTGGGGACCCCTGTCGATCTGAAACCCATCTCCCTCTCCCACCAGCAGGGCCTGGATGGAGTGGGAGGGCAGCAGCCATTGTGTCTGGTTATCCTAGAGCTCAGGTGGTCCAGGGCAATCTGGGGAGGCTGTACCCCAGTGGGCACAACACTAGCAAGGGCTCAGCCTCCACCATTCCCAGATGGTCTAAAAGACTTTAGCAGGATTCACAAGGCTGCCTGCTGTACTGACCACTTGTTATCTGCCCTACCTTACGTGCTAAGGTGTCTGCGGTCATTCATTTTCTCCACTACATGCTCTCCATGGCATGGTGTGATTTAACAGAGAACATACAGTTGGTCTCTGTCCCTGGTTCCTAACTCAAGAATTCTGTACACACTTAGAATTTCCAAAATAATAGAAAAGAAGTGTCCTTTGTAAGCTAGTGAGTTGACTGGTGGCTGGAGGGCTCACAGATAGCCTCAGATTAGGGAATGGTGGCCTGACAGACCAAGCCATAATGAGAGAGTGAGAAGGTTCTGTCCCATCCCAGTCCCACCCCACCCCACCCCACCCCCACCTCCACCTCCACCTCCAGATTGGAGAGACCAGCTGGGATTCAGTCAATAACCAACACCCATGTAACAAAGCCTCCATGAAAAACCCTACATGTGAGGGCTTGGAGAACTGGGTTGGTGAACACCTGGCAGTGCTGGGAGGTGAGGTGGTGGGGAGGGCCTGGGAGCTCAGTACCCTTCCCCTACCATGCCCTGTGTTCTCTTCAATTGGTTGTCCCTATGGCATGTCCTTTATAACAGACTGGTAATAGTGAGTAAGGCACTTTTCTGGGCTCTGTGAACTCTTCCATTGAATAACTGAACCTGAGGACAGAGTCGGGAGGCCCCAAGTCCTTGCTGGGAAGTGAGAGGTGCAGGTGGGGCTGTAGGGCTGGTGCCTGGTTTTTGAAGTGGAGCAATGTGGTAGGGCTGGGCCCTGCACCTGTGGGGCCGCCCTTAACTGCAGGAAGTTAGTGCCAGAGTTGAAATGGAAATTCAGGACTCACAGTCCGTGTCCAGAGCATTGGAGAATTGGTTGGTATGAGAGGGAAAAAACAAACATATATTTGGTGTCAGACACCCTGTGAGTAAAAACAGTGCAGATTTGGTTTATTAAAACCCCAACTTCCCTAGCTGTGGGATTCTATGCAGGTCTCAATTTACCATTTTGTGTTCAAAGGGTGTAGTGAAAAGCCAATGAGATGCCAGATCCAAAGGTATTTTATCCAGGGCAGCAGAATAACCCTAAGCCCTACTTCTCGCTCCACGATCTTTACTGTTCTTACATATCTGTGATCAGAGATGTCCTATCACAAAATTACACAAAATGATCACATTATATGATGGAAATCTGCTGAATTTTTAGAAATTTTCCAAGCCAGTTATTAAACATAGCCATTGCAAAAAATGAAATAATATAAATTTACAATTAAATAAAGTATATGTTTTAAAAGGCAAGAAATACTCAAAACTCATCACGTCCTATTTACTTGACATGTATCCGTGTTTTGGGGTTAGAGTCCATGGTATCTTTATGGTGAGAGTGTACATAAGGTGCATCTTTTCTCAGTTATGCACTGAGTGACATGGCACTAGTAGCCTGAACTTGACCCCAGAGGGACTATTTATACCACAGAAACAAGCAAGCACTAAGAACCTGGGCTCCTCTGCCATCATAAAACCAGCTGTTAGCATCCACCAGGAGCCCACAGAATAAAGCACAGAGGGTTTTAGGCTAGGTTGGAAAATATGAAATCAGGAGAGGCTGGATTTAGCCTTTGTTTTTTAAAGAGAAATGAGAGAGGGAAAAATTTTAATTTATAGAAACCAGACAGGGCTTTTCCCCTCTGGTCAACACTGCCATGGCCTGAGAGCACTGAGCATAGTCGATGTTGTAGGAGTGTCTCTCTGTCATGGGGAGGAGGGGTTCGTATTTCATCAGCCTTCAGTTCCTGGCAGAGGACAGGTGTGAATGACCCTTATTCCTGACTTCTACAGGACATGGTGGAAACTGTTCTCAACAAGGGCGACTTCTAAAAAATAGCATACCTGTTGGTTCCGAGTATGTTCCCTTAAGCTTTTAGAAAAATCATACTTCATTAATATGAAAAACTACATATAAAATTTAAATCTGCAGAAACATGTTTGGGGAATGATCTGTAATGCCCATTGCATTTCCCTTGGTAAAATAATAATATTATTAGGAAAGAATCCACTGAGGAGCAAAGAAAGCGTACTTGGCCAAGTTTTCAATCGACTCTGGGTCATTAGCAAACATGTTGTATGCTCCGTCGCTCGTCCACAGGAATCCCACTAAACCTTGACTGAACACAACCATGGCGGGCACTTGGTTCTCATCCTTCTTGGAGAATGTGGTGGAGAACTGCAGACCGTCTTCCGGATAAAGGAAAATGGCATAGGAGCTGGAGTCAGAGGAGGCCAGGACAGCCTGGAACGTGTTTCTCTGTGGAGATGAGTTAAAATTCAGCTACCCAGTGGCAAAATTCCTACAGAACTTCAGATGTGCAGCTCTCTCAGCTCTGAACAGAGAGCACTGTAGAGAGAGTTCTCACCTTCTTGTTCTCACCTTCTCTCTCATCATGGCTCCACTGAAATATCTCCAGAGCTATGTACACACATGACATTTCCTAATTAATTAATGAATATATTTTACATAACTCTTACCTTATTGACCAAAAATTATACAGATGGGACCTCAATATGATGGCCTAAATCTCATGCAACTTGGCAAATCTCTACCCACAGAATAGAGTGGCTTTTGTTTCCAAGGCCGTTAAACATATCCAATCACATCATGTGGTAGTAAAAATATGAGTTTGGGAAGAAAATAGACCTCGATCCAAATCTTTGCTGTACTCCTTATTGGTCTTGAGGTCATGGGCATGGTACAGCTGGTTGATAGAACTGCTGGAAGACCACATCCTGAGGCAGCATGTGAAAGGCCAGACAGAAATCATGTTCTTACACATTAACACCTCTCCATAGGCCACACACTGCCCTGAGCTCGGTACACATGAAGGAAACAACACATGGCCCTGTACTTCATGTACAGTCTAGGCAGAGAGGCTGACATGTGAACAAAGCCTTGCAAAACCTAGGAACAGATTCCCCAGCAGTAATAGGTGCAAAGCACTGTGGGAGCCAAAGGAGGGAGTGTCCTGTGCCTGGACGGGTGGGAGGGGAAGAGGCCACAGCTGGTCAAAGCCTCACAGAAGGGCCTGAACGAACCAGTAGGAGCAGTGTGCCACCTGTAGGGGTCAGGGAGAGGATGCCCCCGGTAGAAAGGACAGAACATGCAAAGCACTGTACAAATGGGGAGGGGTATGAATTGCAGGTAACTCGATACAGTGCTGGGAAGGGCGTGCAAAGGCTCTATGCAAGGGGTTGGGAGCTTCTCCAAGTATGGTACTCTGACAGGTAACAGCTGGCAATGCAGGTCATACCCCATGTGATATGCCTTATTTGGGGGTAGGGGTGAGGGGAAGATATGACCAAAAGGTTTGGGGAATGCTCAGTTAAACACATTTAAGCAAGTTTCTTTACTGCAGGACTCTTCAGAGTGAATCACCAAGAGGGAGCTATAACTTTAGATTTCCCAAACTAAATTGGCCAAGGGAGGCCTTTTCCCCAAGGCCTGTCTTATAGGGCTGGTCCATGGCACACACTTTGGGAACCATCAGTCTGCAGCACCTCTCCCTTAGTGTGATTTTGGATCTTTCGAGTTTCTCTCTACGGAGTTATCCTATCAAAATTTAAAAAATGGAACTTTTCATAGGACAAGTTGAGGCCTACCCCAAAAAGCCATGGTAGGTCATTTCTCAACCTACTCAAACACTCTTCCTCCTTCAAGGGCAAGTCGAGGGTCTCCAGGCCTTTCCTGACTACTGCACCCAAGAGAGCCCACCTGGGTTATAAAGACCTGTGTTCTGAACACTCAGGGGCACATGTGGTTCCTGCCTCCCCTGATACAGCCTGCCCCCACCTCATCCCTCAGAGTACTGGGCCACCAAAACCTACCACTTCATGTACATAATTCCTCTCTTTAATTAGAAAGTGTCCTTCCACCATCAGCCATTTGAATCAGGATCACCAGGGGCTGCCATTTAGCAGCACTGTTTTTGCTAAGTGGCGATCCTCTCTGGATTTGCATTCTTTTGCATTCTTTATATTTAGTTGTCATTGGACACATTATGTACTTATTTATAAATTTTAGGCTATCTTGCTGCCAGAACTTTGTTTTGTACCAGGGAGTGAGCCCAGGGCACTTTACCACCCAGCTATACCCCTTTGTATTTTTTGAGACAGATCTCTCCAAGTTGCCCAGGCTGGCAACAAACTTGCAAAGCCTCAGCCACCTGAGTTATATATTTACACTGTGTGCCACTGTGCCTGGCATGGAACACATATTCGCATACCCTTGCAGAGAAGCTCTCGGAAGTTTCAGACCTGCAGTAACCAGCCTGTTAAATAATTGGCATTTCCTGTCTTGATCAATAATGCAGACATTTCACACATCAGGGTGGCACAAGGCAGAAGTCCAGGCTGTCTGCACCGTGTCTACAGCAGCGCTTACCTTGCCTTCTTGGGCAGGGCTCCTGTCGGGCCCCTGGTAGGGGGCCACAGATTCCCAAGTGACCACCACCACACTGCTGGGCTGGAAAGAGACCTCTGGGAAGCCCCTCTGGACACACTCCGCCGCCAGCTGCAGGATGGAGGGGGACAGGTCTTCCCGGTAGTAGACCTTCCCCAGGCCACCGGTTGTGTCCAGGTCCGCCAAGAAAGGAGCGATGGCGCCGAAGGTGGGTGGGAAGAGTCCAGGGTGCGACTCTTCGGCCGGTGGTTCACTGGTGGCAATGATGCCATTTGTGGTGACCTGTGGGAAACCAAGTGTGGTTCAAGGGGATGCAGAGGTGACCGCTTCCCCGAGGGAGCCCTGCTCACCGAACGCTGTAATGGGGACCCACACTCCTCCACACAAACCCCAAGGGAATCTGAGAATCACAAAACCAGCCTTCCTGCTCCAGGCAAGGTGCACTGGTGAGGAAGCAGGGCTGAGATCCCAAGGATGGACTCTGCCAACTGCCAGCCGCCAGAGCGTGGGCAAGCCTCTCAGACTTGGAGTCTCCAGTTTCCCCATGTATCCTCCTGACCTCCAGTAAAACATGGGAATAAAAGTGCTTTCTTTAATGCCAAGCATAAGTCACCATTCAGGCCTTAATTAATTTACTCCACAGATGGAGGAACCATCCCTCGCCAGGACTATGTGCAGTGCTGTGGGTACAAATCGAGAAGGGACCAGTGCCTGCCTCCAAGGACCTGAAATTCCAAGAGAAAGGGGCCTGTGGTATCACTCCTTGCTGCCGCTAGGTTATCGGGTTAGAGGAACAGTTAACGTGTTTAGACTGTTCACCATGCTCTAAGCATCTTATTAGCATCAAATCCTCCAAAGAACCCCAGAAGACCAGGTACTATTAATATCCATATTTTTCTGGTAAAGAAAATTCAGTACATTGATCAATTTGTCCAAGGCCACTAAGTAATAGGTGGCAACACTGGATTCTAACTCAGGGAACCTGACTCCAAAGTTGGCCGTCTTAATTCCCACATGCAGAGCCTTCTTGAAATCATTGTCACCTTTAAGGCACCACTGTTCCCACTCAGCTAAACCTCACACTCCTCCGGGAAATGGGGAAGGGGCCGCTGAGATCCAGGGGCACCAGCCCCATGGTGGTGGTGGTGGGGGTGTGTGGTCCAGGGCCTACTGCAAAGCCAACTAGCCAGCAAGGCCAGATACCTCCCACATCTTGGTGGCTGGAACCCCACTCCAGCCATCTTTTCTTGAGAATATAGACCTTTTTAAAATTCTCTAATCACATAGGAGAGATTTTGCAAATGGACCCTATTTTGCTCTTCTAGAGGCTATGGATTGGAAGCACCCAAATCTGAAAGAGCAGCATTCAGAGGCTGGGGAGTCCATCAGAGGCTTGAGGATGCTCTGCCTGTTCCCCTCCTTCTACCACAGCAGAGCCTTCTCATCACTTCTCACCTCATAACCAGGGAAGGGTTAGGGACAACAGAAGAGAGGACCCCAAGACCAAGCTCCTGGAACTGCCAAGAACCTGGTAGCAGAGTTCAAGATGGGGAGCCAATCTGGGGCCAGGCAGGAGAAGGACAAGCGCTCCGAGAGCCAGCAGTGGACTTGACATGACCCACTCTTCAAATGCCACAGGTTGTTAACTTCTCGGGCGATGTGTTTTCTTTCCATCACCACCTGGCACCAGCAGGACTTTTCTAGAATATACTGCCAGGCCGCAGAAGGGAGTCAGCAAAGGGGCCTCTGGCCACCAGTCTCTTAGGGTCCAACAGCCCCCACCACAAACATCCAGCAGGCTGCACAGGGGAGCGTGGGAACAGCTCGCCTTCCCAGCCGCCGCCACGAGCTGGCAGCCACCAGCTGCTGGTGGGAAGTGACCGCACAGAGGCCACATACAGACCACTCCGTTGTCTAAAGCTGTTTTCAGTGAAATTTAAATCAACCCAACAATTTTGAAAACACTCCCAGTGTCTTTATTATTTGGAATCTGGGTCCAGGAATGTTTCTATTTTCTTAAGGAATGTCTTAGAAATAACCAAGTTTTCATGGAAGTATCATGAAGAACTGAAAAAGCTTTGGAGAAAGATGGCATAATCCTCATTAGTATTATTATTGGAAATTATCTTTCAACCAATGTGACTTTGCATTCAACTCATTGCCTTCATTATTAATGTAATACACAGAAGAGCCAGAAATTTTTTAGATTCTTAGACTTAAGCTTCTCCCCCATAAACTTCCTTTTCAGATATACCTCTCCAGATACATCATCAGCAACCTTGAACAACATTTCTGTACATTAGGTGTGAGACCCCCTTGGGGTCCACACAGCCCTGAGGAGCTCCCAAGGGCCAGAGCCCTCACCACATTCCCCCAGTGCTGATGTCAGGGACCCCGGGGTGGGCCTTTGCTCCTCCCCCCGTTCTCACCTCCACTACCTGCTGCCACCAGTACCTTCCTTCACTTGACTGGCCTCCTCAGAGAGCTCCCCACTATGTCCTGCAGGCTCCTACCACTGGCCTCTCCTCCTCCCTTCCCCTACTCCCTTGCCCAGATTTCTGTCTCCATCCCCTATGGGTTTCCTTCCAACTTTGCAGACTCTGGCTGCTCTGTCACTGTGAGTTCAGCTCCTTGGGGTAGGAGACTGTCCATTCAGGTCACCACTGCAGCTCCAGAGTTTACCTGCTACCTGATACACGTTTCCATTTCTTCCTGACTTCCTCCAATATGCAGGCAGGGAGATTCCAGGCAGGATAGGACCTGTGCACTTAGACTGCTGTGGAAACCATGCCGAGAGAGAGTTCATCAGGGAGCACGAAGGACCACAGAACTCTGTGAACCTGCAGTCCTTGCTGCCAAAGCAGAGAGTGCCTGAACATGAACCCGTAATGCAAATGTGACCAATCTCTCAGTTTACAGGAAGACCAGGAGACAGAAGAACATGTTAAATGATACAACAGGGATGTGATCAGCAAAATCCAGAAGTTGGTATGCTGGAAAAAACAAATGTCAAGTTTCTTTAATAAATAATTTGCGAGGAAGTCAGGTATGATGGCATATGCCTGTAACCTCAGCAACTCGGGAGGCTCAGGCAGAAGGATGGGAAGTTCAAGGCCAGCCTCAGCAACTTAGCAAGACCCTGTCTCAAAAATAAAATGAAAGGGGCTAGGGGTCTAGCTCAATGGTAGAGGGCCTCTGGATTCAGTCTCCAGCACCTCTAAAAAATTTCAAGGAAAAGAGAGGTAGGGAAAGTGGGGGAGCTTATAGATTGTTAAAATCCTAAGAAAAGATTATACCCACCAAATGCAATCGGTGGGCTTCAGCTGGGCCCTGATTTAAACCCTGATTCAACTGAAAAGCAAAATAAAACATTTTATGAAACTATGTGGATATTGAATAATGTTAAGAAATTATTATTAATTCTAATCATGATCATTATTTTTCTGCTTTGTTTTTAAAGAGAATCTTTTTTGAGACACACTCTGAAATATTTACAATGAAAAAAATGTTTGTGATTTGCTTAAAATAATAGTTTGGGACAAGAAAGGGAATATTAGGAACAGTTGGGGCTATAAATGAAACAAGATTTGTCACATATTAACAGCTGTCAAATCGGGATGATGGGTACAAAGGAGTTCCTAGCATCAATCTATTTTTGAATACATTGAATATTTGCCACAAAAAAGTTTTTTTTTAAATTTTAATTAGGTATTTATGACAGCAAAATGCACTTTGATCCACTGTACACAACTGCAGTGCACGATGTGGCGTCGCACCCTATGGGCAGTCTCATGTGTACCTAGGGTACTGATGTCCATCTCATTCCACAATCTTTTCTGCCCCCAGTCCCCCTCCCCACCCAAGGTTTAGTTTTTGAAAAGCTAATGAACATCATTATCTGGAGTTTAGCAAAGGGGCCAGTGGTTTCAGCAGACAAGCTGACACTCATGTGTGGTCACCAGAGGGCCTGTAGCACACCATCTTTGATTCTGTTCTGCTTTTCCAGATTTATTGAGGTATCTAACTGACAAAAACAAATTATATACATGTGGGTGGACAGTGTGATGACTGCCATCTGTGTAAGCGGCATGAAGGGACGGCCATACCAGGTTAGTTGGCAAGACGAACAGACACGGGAACTAGACCACCCCGATGAAGAGCTGGGGAAGAAACCCACACGGTGCGGTCAACTGACACGTGGCAAGAGCACCAAGAAGACAGAGGGATGGGGCAGTAAACAGTGCCACGAAAACTGGTTATCTTTGCAAAAAATGAAACTGGAGCCTTGCTTTACAGTGCTCACAGAAACTAACGTGAAGTGGATTAGAGACAAATGTAGGATCTGAAACCATAAAACTCCCAAAAGAAAACAAGGAACTGGCTCTTGGCATTGGTCTTGGCCACGCTTTCTTGGGGGCATGACACCAAAAGCTCAAGCAACAAAAGCCAAAAATAAGTAAGTGGGACTCCGTCAGGGCTTTGAATTCCTTCCCGGGCTCTCCCAGCCTCTCCCATGCCTCCATCCCAGCACCCAGCCGGCCGGGGATTCAGGAGTGTAAGTGGCTTTGGGCCTGCTGGTTAATGAGCAGAAGGTGCTGGCAAATGCAGCTCTAGTAATTAAAGCCAACCAAATGTTACAGGCACCAGCAGTGCCCGGGTCCAGAAAGAACAGTTGTTAAGCAAGGGGGTGCACAGCAGTCACAGTACTCTGCTCACCCATCTGCCCTGCCTGAAACAATTAGGGTTATGGAACCAGACTTCAGTTTTGGTGTGAACATCTGTAAATAGGAGGCTAAAGTAGAAATCCAGGTGCCAGGGGAAGTCTTTAGGTGGCCTAGCTTCTCCAGAGAACATCTCATTTCTTCTAGAAGGCTTTTCTGACCTCCCCAGTGAGAGGTACCACACTCCAACTTTGCATTTAGCACCTCAGAGCGCATGCATGCCCATAATCCCAGTGGCTTGGGAGGGTGAGGCAGGAGGACTGCAGGTTCAAAGACAGCCTCAGCAACTTCGTGAGGCCCTGAGCAACTTAGCAAGACTCTGTCTCAAAATAAAATATAAAAAAAGGCTGTGGATGTGGCTCAGTAGTTAGGTGCTCCTGGGTTCAATCCCTGGTACGCCCCCCCCAGGGAAAAAAAAAAAAAAAGGATCTCTGACTCAATGTCACCTGGGTGTTCCTGCTGGGGATCGCACCAGGAGCCCACCCTGAGTAAGCACACTCTAGGAAGCCTCCAGGAATTACTGAGAGCTAAACATGACAGCAATTATGTTAAAGTGTCAAA